CTGCAATGGCAGTAAGTACATACCTATCAATAACCACCCTAAATGTAAATGCCCTGAATGCACCAATCAAAACACATAGAGTCACTGAATGGATAAAAAGAAAACAAGACAATCTATATGCTGCCTACAAGGGACTCACTTCAAACCCAAAGACATACACAGACTAAAAGTGAAGGGATGGAAAAAGTTACTTCATGCAACTAATAGGGAGAAAAAAGCAGGAGTTGCAGTACTTGTATCAGACAAAATAGACTTCAAAACAAAGAAAGTAACAGGAGACAAAGAAGGATATTATATAATGACAAAGGGGCAGTCCAACAAGAGGATATAACCATTATAAATATCTATGCACCCAACACAGGAGCACCTACATGTGTGAAACAAATACTAACAGAATTAAAGGGGGAAACAGAATGCAATACATTCATTTTCGGAGACTTCAACACACCACACCAAAGGACAAATCAACCAGACAGAAAAATAAGTAAGGAGACAGAGGCACTGAACAATGTATTAGAACAGATGGACCTAACAGACATCTACAGAACACTACACCCAAAAGCAACAGGATATACATTCTTCTCAAGTGCACATGGAACATTTTCAAGACTAGATCATATACTAGTTCACAAAAAGAGCCTTAGTAAACTCAAAAAGATTGAAATTGTACCAACCAGCTTCTCAGACCACAAGGTTATAAAACTAGAAATAAATTGTACAAAGAAAACAAAACAGCCCACTAACACATGGAGGCTTAACAACATGCTCCTAAATAATCAGTGGATCAATGACCACAATAAAACAGAGATCAAGCAATTTATGGAGACAAATGACAACAATGATTAAATACCAGAAAATCTGTGGGACGCAGTGAAGGCCATGCTAAGAGGGAAGTATATTGCAATACAGGCCTACTTCAGGAAAGAAGAACAATCCCATATGAACACTCTAAACTCACAATTAACAAAACTAGTAAAAGAACAAATGAGGCCCAAAGTAAGTAGAAGGAGGGACATAATAAAGATTAGAGTAGAAATCAATAAAATTAAGAAGAATATAACAATAGAAAGAATCAATGAAAGCAGGAGCTGCTTCTTTGAAAAAATAAACAAAATAGATAAACCCCTAGCCAGACTTACCAAGAAAAAAAGAGAGTCTACACACATAAAAAGAATCAGAAATGAGAAAGAAAAAGTCATTACGGACACCACAGAAATACAAAGAATTATGAGAGAATACTATGAAAAATTATATGCTAACAAACTGGATAACCTAGAAGAAATGGACAACTTTCTAGGAAAACACAACTTTCCAAGGATGACCCAGGAAGAAACAGAAAATCTGAACAGACCAATTATCAGTAATGAAATTGAATTGGTAATCAAAAACTACCTAAGAACAAAACTCCTGGACCAGATGGCTTCACCGCTGAATTTTATCAAACATTTAGTGAAACCCTAATACCCATTGTCCGTAACATTTCCCAAATAGTAGGAGGGAATACTTCCAAACTCATTCTATGAGGCCAGCATCACTCTAATACCAAAACCAGCAAAGACACCACAAAAAAAGAAAACTATAGACCAATATCCCTGATGAACATAGATGCAAAAATACTCAACAAAATATTAGCAAACCCAATTCAAAAATACATCAAAAAGATCATTCATCATGATCAAGTAGGATTTATTCCAGGGATGCAAGGATGATACAATATTTGAAAATCAATTGACATCATACACCATGTCAACAAAAAGGACAAAAACCATGTGATCATCTCCATAGATGCTGAAAAAGCACTCAACAAAATTCAAAATCCATTCATGACAAAAACTCAACAAAATGGGTATAGAGGGCAAGTACCTCAATATAATAAAGGTCATATATGACAAACCCACAGCCAACATCATACTTAACAGTGAGAAGCTGAAAGCTTTTCCTTTAAGATTGGGAACAAGAAAAGGATGCCCACTCTCGCCACTTTTATTCAACATAGTTCTGGAGGTCCTAGCCATGGCAATCAGACAACACAAAAATAAAACGAATCCAGATTAGTAAGGAAGAAGTTAAATTGTCCCTGTTTGCAGATGACATGATATTATCCATAAAAAATCCTAACGAATCCACCCCAAATTATTAGAACTAATAACTGAATTCAGCAAAGTAGCAGGATACAAAATCAATACACAGAAATCTGTTGCATTCCTATATACTAATGATGAACTAGCAGAAAGAGAAATCAGAAAAACAATTCCATTCACAATTGTATCAAAAAGAATAAAATACCTAGGAAAAAACCTAACCAAGGAAGGGAAAGACCTATACCCTGAAAACTACAAGACACTCATGAGAGAAACTAAAAAGATAGCAATAAATAGAAATATATCCCATGCTCACGGATAGGAACAATTAATATTATCAAAATGGCCAACCTGCCTAGAGAAATCTACAGATTCAATGCAATCCCTATCAAAATACCAATGGCATTCTTCAATGAACTAGAGCAAATAGTTCTAAAATTCGTGTGGAACCACAAAAGACCCTGAATAGCCAAAGCAATCCTGAGAAGGAAGAATAAAGCTAGGGGGATTGTGCTCCCTGACTTCAAGCTTTACTACAAAGTCACAGTAATCAAGACAATTTGGTACTGGCACAAGAACAGAGCCATAGTCAATGGAACAGAATAGAGATCCCAGATATAAACCCATGCATGTATGATCAATTAATATATGATAAAAGAGCCATGGACATACCATGGAGAAATGACAGCCTCTTCAGCAACTGGTGTTGGCAAAGCTGGACAGCTGCATGTAAGAGAATGAAACTGGATTACTGTTTAACTCCTTACACAAAAGTAAACACAAAATGGATAAAAGACCTGAATGTAAGTCATGAAACCATGAAACTCTTAGAAGAAAACACAGGTGAAAGTCTCTTGAATATAAACATGAGCAACTTTTTCCTGAACACATCTCCTCAGGCAAGGGAAACAAAAGCAAAAATGAACAAATGGGACTACATCAAGCTAAAAAGCATCTGTACAGCAAAGGACACCATCAGTAGAACTAAAAGGCATCCTACAGCATGGGAGAATATAATTTGTAAAAGACATATCCAACAAGGGTTTAACATCCAAAATATATAAAGGAATCACACACCTCAACACCCAAAAAGCAAATAACCGTATTAAAAAATGGACAGAGGATATGAACAGACAATTCTCCAAAGAAAAAATTCAGATGGCCCACAGGCACATGAAAAGATGCTTCACATCACTAATTATCAGGGAAATGCAAATTAAAACCACAATGAGATATCACCTCACACCAGTTAGGATGGTCAACCTCCAAAAGATAAGGCACAACAAATGCCAGTGAGGATGTGGAGAAAGGGGAACCTCCTAGACTGCCTAGACTGGGAATGTAAATTAATTCAACCACTGTGGAAAGCAATAGGAGGTTCCTCAAAAAACTAAAAATAGAAATACCATTTGACCCAGGAATTCCACTCGTAGAAATTTACCCAAAGAAAGCAAGATCCCTGGTTCAAAAGGACATATGCACCCCTGTTTATTGCTGCACTATTTACAATAGCCAAGATATGAAGCAACTTAAGTGTCCATGAGTAGATGAATGGATAAAGAAGATGTGGTACATATACACAATGGAATACTATTCAGCCATGAGAAGAAAACAAATCCTACCATTTGCAACAACATGGATGGAGCTGGAGGGTATTATCCTCAGTGAAGAAAGACAGGTGGAGAAAGACAAGTACCAAATGATTTTCCTCATTTGTGGGGTAATAATAACGAAGCAAAACTGAAGGAACAGAACAGCAGCAGACTCACAGACACCAAGAAGGGACTAGCAGTTACCAAAGGGAAGGGGTTGGGGAGGGTGTGTGGGGTGGGAGGGAGAAGGGGATTGAGGGGTATTATGATTGTTACACATGGTGTGTGTGGGGGTCACAGGGAAGACAGTGCAGCACAGAGAAGACAAATAGTGACTCTGTGGCATCTTACTACACTGTGGACAGTGACTGTAATGGGGCGTGGGGGGGACTTGATAATATGGGTGAATATAGTAACCACAATGTTTTTCATGTGAAACCTTCATAAGAGTGTATATTAATGATACCTTAATTTAAAAAAACCTATCTCTACACCAAAAATGTAAAATGTAGTCACATATTTTTCTTGTGATGAGAACTTTTAAGATTTATTCTCTTAGTAACTTTCAGTTATCCCATACAGTATCAACTATAGTCACCATGCTATACATTATATCCCCAGGACTTATTTTATAACTGGAACTTTGTACCTTTTGGTGCCCTTCACCCATTTCACCTCCATCCCCAAACCCCACCTCTGGTAACCCCAATCTCTTCTCTATACCTATGAGTTTAGTTTCTTTTATTTTTTTCTTTTTTAGATTCCACATATAAGTGAGATCACATAGTATCTGTCTTTCTGTCTGACTTCACTCAGCATAATGCTCTCAAGGTCATCCATTTGTCTCTAATAGCAAGATTTCCTCTTTTTTATAGTGGGATAATATTCTATTATATTTATCACATCTTTATCCATTCACCCATCCTGGGTACTCAGGTTGCTTCCATATCTTGGTTATTATAAATAATGCTGCATCAGTGATTTTTTTCCACAACTATGGCTTCTCTCTCAAACTAGACTTAAACCTGAAGCTCTCTGAAGAATAGTCTAATATCTTTTTATTTTCAGTTATGCCTGGTGTAAGGTAAGAGCTCAGTCTCTTTGCTCATCCAGTGACTCAACTGAATGTACCAAGTCAAGGACTACTACCAGTCAGGAGACCTTGAGTTCACTCTAGGGAATTTTACAGCTGAAAACAAGTTTCTCCTTCAAAGGGTTATTGTTCTTCTAATGTCTCCCAGGACTTGGTTCATGGTTTCAGGAGTCACTAAATATGAGATTATAAACTTGATTTACTCCTTTTAATCCAGCAATTTCCTTTTTACAGATGAGAAGCCCTTTGCTGTGGAAGATACTTATTTGCTGTGTCCAGCACCTGTCCTAAAAGAAGTTGGCATGTAAGTTTCCACCAACTGAACCACCCAGCTAGGGAGGATTGAGGAGGCAGAGGGGATGAAGGGAAAAGAGAGTGTCCTCTTCATTGTCACCATGGAGCCTTTCTCTGGACTTCTCCACATAATGATGATGATGCTTACAGTGAGCAAGGCAACAGGATGAATGTTTCACAAAGGCTATCTCACTTTATCCTCCCAAATTCCCATGAACCAGATTCTCCTATCATCCCAGTTTTGCAGATGTGGAATCTGGGCTGAGAGAATTCCAGGAGTTTGCCCAAGTTCACACAGTGAGGGAGTCTAGGTTCAAACCCAGGCCTGTCTGGCTTAATCACAGCCACATTTCCAGAAAGCTTGCACACTTCCCAAAAGGCCCCCACAAACGTTATCTCAACCTCTCAACCTGTCACAGTAGTAGTCCTGCAAGGCGATTAACTCCTTAAAGATAAGGAAACTCAGAAAGGAAGCTCAGGAGGGCTAAGCGGGTGCACAGCTGCTTCAAGACCCCAGATTCAGGCCAAGCTCAGTGCTCCTTTGTCTGCACTTCTGCAGAGTATCAGGTATTCACCCAGATGGCACGAGGTTCCCTGAACTCACTCATGGGGAAAATCTTACGGTGGTGCAATTGTTAGTGAGATGCAATCAAAATATGCAAAGACAAGAGAATTAGCACCCTGAGCGAAGAAAATAAATATGTGGGGAAACAGAGAGACATGACCTAGTTTATCTGTAAACATGTCTGTAACACGCTGAAGATAGAATGGTAGCTCTAAGGGAAAAATGCTAAACTTGTTCCTCTGAATCCTACCTCCAATCATTTGTTCAACATGTAAAGCCTCCAACTCTGGTTACCTGATATTGGCCTGTGATTCCACCAACTAGCCTTGTGTCCATGATATAAAATGCAAGTTCATGTGTGAGTAAAGAGATAGGGGGCACATTATTTCATCTGCAGCTGTACCTCTGTAAGTTTGCTAAATACAGCAAAGCCATCCCCATCGGAATCAGATCACTGAGAGTCCAGAGAATGAATCCCCACTAACTTGGACCATTTTTTAAGAGTACTTTGTCCTACCACAATGTGACAAGTAAATTAAATGGGAGCAGGCTTTGCTTATTCAGTGCAATTCGCTGCAGTAAAGAAGGGCTGAATGCACCATCTTAACCCACCAGCCAAGCTTACACTGACATCTCTGTAGAACATTAGGGGTGAATGGGCCCCAGAGACCATCATGCACATCTTACAAAGGAGACAGCTCAGGCCCCCAGGGAAGAGACTAGTCCTAAGGGTGATTAAGAGCAGAGCCTGCAGGGGGCCTCTGGGCCATGTGCCTTGCATGCTGTGCTGAGTGTCTCCGGTTCCCTTGTCATTGCAGGAAAGCCGCACTTCAGGTCAGCATGAACGATGGCCTCTCTTTCATATCCAGCTCTGTCATCATCACCACCACACACTGTGTGAGTCATCATTTCCCTTTGTTGAAGGTTTCATTGCCATTCTCACCTCCCTGGTGACTTTTCCAGGGGTGCATTCTGCTCACTAAGCTGTGATTCCAGCACTGCTGGGCCAGCCATGGCCCCATCAGGGGCGTGCCACACCCCAGCATGTATCAGGGCCTGTGTGGGACTCCTCCAGGCTCCCCGTGTCCCGACTGTGACTGAGGGCATGACCCAGTGGTGTCTGTGCAGTTGTGAGGGGGGATGCCCAATGGGACTGGGTTTAGGTGGAAACGTGTGGAGAGAAATTGGATGGCACATATAGAAAGCACATCCTAGGGAGTTTTCTCTTACAGAAAGCAGAAAATGGGGCAGTAACTAAATGGAGTATAAAGAGAGTGTTTTATTTAGAATGGGAAGAGTTGTGGCTTGTCTGTATGGTTGTGTCCATATTATAAAAATAAACCAGGAGAAAATGGGAAACTGAGGCAGGAATGGGGCTGTGTTCTCTCCACCAGCAACTCCCGTCTCCCTTCTCTGGATCCTTCATGTCAGGTGGGTTTCATTTCTGGCTACATGTAAAGTCACCTGGAGAGCTTTTAAAAAATATTGATGCCCTGGCCTCATACCAGACCAGCTGAAACAAAGTCTCTGGTGGTTCGGAGGCCTCCATGGGAGATTGTCTTGTGCAGCTATGGCTGGGATCTCTTCAGCCTGTGTAGTTGCTCCCACCCATTGCCAGGGTCTTGGACCCTGTCAAAGGCCAGTCAGTGCTTCATTAGCTCATCCACAGACCTCAGCCCCTAACAGGAGCAGTTCCACAATTACATTTTTCCCATTAGATCCTCCTAGAGACTAATATGTTTGGCCTGATGGTCAGTTTGGGCAGATACTGGCTGACCTTTGGAAGACATGTCATTAGAACCCCTCAGTAATTGGGGTTTGTGTCCTTAAGACTTGTGCAGCAATGACTGGGAACCCTTACAGGACACAAGTGCATGACAGATGGGCATGCACTGAAGCCAGGAAAGATGAAAACAACTTATCTCATAGATGAGCAGGCAGTTAGGCCTGATGATGAACAACATCTCTCCCCAACACACTTTTCATCCTGTTAAGAGAAAACCAATTTTCTTGAAAGCAGGGTAAGCCTGTGCAATGAGTACAGACAATAGAAAAGTTTTACTTGACCGAAGTAAGAAACTAAGATTGTCACAGAGAAGTGTCACCATTGAGAAATGTGTGTCTCAGGCATCCCTTGGTAGAACATCAGGTCTAAAGACCAAATACGAAAACTGTGTGTAGATGCAGTGAAACTTCTTCAGGTGTACGCTGCCTGATTCTTTTAGAAGCTGACCCTTCTGGAACCTGCCAACCTGCAGGAAATGATTAACATACCCCAAATCTAACAACTCCATTCTACATTCCTCCCTGCTTTTGAGTGATTCAACAACTTGGGGCTGTATTTCCCATTATGTCTCACCATACCACAAAGAAACAGCCAGGCCCTCAGGGCCTCAGGGCCCCAGGGCAGGGCGGGGGGAGGGGAAATGTCTTGGGACCAAGCCAGTGGTGTGGCAGACACGGGACTGTGACTGTAAGCCCTGTCCCTGTAAGCCAGCAAGAAAGGGTGTGCTCGCTAACATACTGCAAAATGAGAAGGGCTCCCAGTAAGTCCTATATATCTTCCCACCTCCAGCCTCATGTCTTGTATCCCCCTCATCTAAGTGCATATCCCTAAGCTTTTGCTTCAGCTGACCCTTGATCAACACCACCTCATAACATCTGCATTATTCCCCTTTTCACTTGAGAAAGTAGTATGTCTATAACACAACTACAAGCACCCTAACATTTGAGATCCAGGTCCATTCATTCATTTATTCAACAAATACTCATTAATCACACACAACCCTGCCAGGCACTGTCCTGGGTACTTGGGGTACATCAGAGAATATTACAGACAAAAATCTCTATCTGGTTAGTGGGCCGTGGGGGTGGGGGTGGGGGCAGGAAGGCAGAGAGTAAACACTAAACATAACGAATGAATTACATGCCATGTTAAAAAATAACATGTGTGCTATAGAAAAAATAGAGCAAAGGAAGAGGATTAGGTAGTACTTGAGCGAGTGTAATATAAACAGAGGTACACTGAGAAGGTGGAATTCGAGTAGAGCCCTTGAAGTTAACCGTGAGGCTCCCGGCAGAAGAACATGCCAAGCCAAGAGCCCCAGCACTTAGGCCCGAGGCTGGAGACACCTGCTGTGTTCCAAACAGAGCAAGAAGGCTACTGGTCATTGGCTGGAAGAGAGTGAGTGAGACCAGCAGGAGGCAGGGAGATAGTGGGGATGGAGAGTGGGGGGCTTTGCAAGACTTTGGCTTTACACAGAGGAGCAATATGTTGTGACTTACACTGAAAGGTCACTCTGGCTGCCAGAAGAGCCTGTGGGAAGACAAGGGTAGAGGGACTATGATTGGTCAGGAGGGTTATGGCAGTATTTCAGGCCAAAGATGGTGGTGGCTTGGCTCAGCAAGGAGCAGCAGAGATGGAAGAAGCCCTCAGAGTCAGATTTCTTTTGAAGGCAAAGCTAATGGATTTCCCAAAGCACTGAATGTAGGACTTGAGAAGACCAGTTGTCAAGAATGGTCCCAAGGGCTTTGGCCTAAGAACCTGAAAGGACGGAGTTGCCCTCAACTGACAGATGTAAGACAGAAGGAGGAGAAGATTCCGGGCAGAAGGGAAAACTGGGGGGCAGCTTTGCTGTTGACTAGTTGCGTGGCCTTGACCAAATTATTGAGCCCCTTTGTCCCTCATTTTCCCAATCTGTAAAATTAGTGTAATAATAACTTACATCTCTTATCAGTAATGTGAATATTAAATGAAATGATATAGGTAAATTGCTTGGTGGAAAGCCTGGCAGGTAGTAAGCAAGCGCTCAGTAAATGTTAGTTGTTACTATAGTGGGACTTAAGTCAAAATTATTGGACTAATAGGAGATTCTCCCTAGAGAGTTGGCTCCTCACCTCAGTGTCTGATTATTTTATTAAAAGGACTGTTCTGAGATAAGATGTAGCCTACAAGTGCATGTTTGCCTTCAGCCAAGCCCAGGTGATTGAAACGGGGCAGACAAGATGGCCAAACCCATCCAGAGAAAGGGACCTATATTCAAACAAAACCCCAGTCCCCAACAGGGCCCTACATGGAAGCTGAAATTTAAAAGACTGAAGCCATTGCTGGACAAAGTAGCAATGCAGGTGGAGCATATGGTCATCCAGAATATGAAGTAAGGGTTGGACTTGTATTTGTTTCTTGGGCAGCTGGTGTGAAGGACAAGATTTTCAGATCAAAAGTGATCCCCTGGGTCTGAGGAAAGGGTTAGTCTCATCAGTGCCAGTCACAGCCTGCCCAGCCCATCACCTGGAACCAAAAATAATTCTAAAATATGTAGTTGAGACTTTTCTTTTTTCGCTTTATTTAGTGCCCATTTGGACAACCATGTCACAAACTTTTCAAGATCCACAATGAATAACCATTGGCCCTGCCAGGAGCAAAAATTCCATGAAGTTTTACAGGAAATTTTTTTCCATCCAAGAGCTAATAGATTCCTATATAAATGGTAAACTTTGTTGAGCTCCAGGACTATAGGAAATGGTAAAACATCCAAAGTCTCTCTCACCAGCATCTGTAAATATATCCCAGCTCTGTAGTCTTAACTGGCCTCCCCTTTATTCCCCAACCACAAGCAATAGGTGAGAAAATCACTAGCATGGGGCTGCTTTGAAATACCAAAAAGAGGTTTGCCCTTTTGAGAACAATCAAATTTTAGCACCTTAAAGAACTCTCTGTGAAAGATTGTCTTCTTTTAGATAAATACCTTGAAATTCTTTACTTTCTGAACAAAAGTATACAAAAATCAGGGAATCATTCAGCGAGCAGTTCTTGAACTACCATGTTTCCAGTGCTGCATTTACATTTTACAGACTTGCTCTCCTTAAGGAACTCAAATTCCAGTTGGAGAAACCAGTCCAACAGCATATAAAAGAGTATGTAATATGACTTATCACATTTGGTATTGACCTTGATTATTTATTTGGCTGAGGTAGTGGCTGTCAAGTTTCCCCACTGTGAAGTTACTCTTTTTGTCCCCTTCTCTGCACTGTGCTCTTTAGAAAGAAGTTACCATGCCCAGCCCACCCTTAAGGACTGGAGAGTTACACTCCTCGTCAGGGGCTACCTACGTACATAAATGACTTGGAATTTTGCATGGGAGATTTGTCTCCTCTTTCCCATTTATTTCTTGATTCAATGATTTATTTATGCTGTGAAAACTTATTTTATACTTTGTGTTATAATGCAAGCTTGCATGAAAATTTCATTTCTTTTGCTGCTCAAGTTTTTCCAAAAAAAAAGAGTATGTAATAAAGAACAGGATTGTGTGAGTTCGACATACATGCTATAGAGTCTCACAGAGGGAAAGGAGTTGTGAATTTAAGAAGCGTCACAATGGCATCATGGAGGAGAAAGCCCAAGTGGTGATTTGAAAGGGCACAAGATGGGACGGGACCATACCCTGAATGGACCAGATACATCTCTGAACATAGTTTGTTCATAGTCCCTCCTCGGGACTGTAACTTTTTTCTTTCCCACTCATTTTGCATGAGTTTCTGGTGCCTTCCAATATGGGCCATTTCTCAGGTTGGCAGCTACTCTGCTAGGATGTACACCACATACCCCTGGTCACCCAGTATAGTAGCAATGAGGCTCCCCTGGTACTCATTCCTATTAACTATATTCAGGACTTACTTTGTATTGGCTTCCAGGATGGAAAATCACCATCTTTGAAGAAAGGAAAGAGACATAAAGTTAGATATAAGATTTGAAAACTAGCACTAAGTCAGTGGTGAACCTGCCCTTTCCCCTCCTAATTTACATGAAAAACAGCTTGGCTGCAAACAGCAACAAGGTTGAATAAATTTGAGAGGACCCAGGTCAAGTCACTGTTCAAAAAGAATTTGTTGAATGA